AAATTTGTGTGAAGTGAAAGCTTGAAACGCCATGTAAAAAGTATTTTCTTATCGAGCAACAAAATATTTCGGATAAACTGAGCAAAAAGCTGGGAATTCAATTCGGTATTCTAAGAAATCTTCACAATGGCAGTGTCAATCGACATTCTACGTGACCACCGAACGAGCAAGCAATCCAGTTTACAATCCTGACGCACAAATGCTATGCACTTTTATTCCGATTTTCCTTTTCAGGTCTAATAACAAGTATAAACATTTTTAAACGATGAAGACATTCACTGACTTTTGTCTTTGATAAATGTGGATTGGAAACTATCGGTATTTTTATCTAATTTTAAAAAGATCTTTAAATTATATTACTGATCTTTAAATTATATATAAACAATGTAAATCATTTCAGTTGTAGCCAAACGGCTTCGGACGATAAATAGCGTTACGGTCACATCAATCAAAAGTCACCATCAGCAAATAATGTAACGAATACCTTATTGTTAGCCCTAAGCGACCTTCGTGTGCGCCTGATATCTACAGGTCAAGTATTATGAGTTTTTGCAAGATTTTAAGCAGGCGAATATATCCGAATACTGACAAAATATTGTAAAATTTAACCGCATCATAAGATATTTAACTCGGTTTTGAAATTTTAATTTAATTCAAATTCAATTAACAGGTCAATACATTTAGAAAGAATCCACACTCGGCTATTAATGATCTCTCGTTTGAACACAAGGGGCATTGACGGGCATGTGTTTCAATATATTTTACTTTTTTTTTTCACTGTGGCAGCCTCACGTTCAAATTTAACCCCAATCTTTTCATCCGTAACCCCGAATTCGTTATATTGACAAAACATGGTAATTTTGTCTTGTTGATAGTCCTAAACACTTGACTTTGGTCATTTTGTATCTCATAACCCAAGGTCAGCATTACAGATTTCGAGACAATCTTACCGCGAAGGAATTCATACAAGCATTCGAGATTGAAAAAAAAGGGTAAAAGTATAAAAATATCATATTCTCATTTTACATGAAATCTATACATATTTTTCATTATAACATATTGGTCCAGTTTTTGGCTCACTTTTTCATACTTATCAGCCAAATACAAGTCGAGACAATATTAAAGAATCGAAATATGACTTCAACTGGAACAATATTCGAGTATGAGAATAAAAAATATTCGAATTAAATAGTAAATTATTCGAATCGGTTCAGACGAGAATTTCGAATTTTCGAATCCACAAAATGTCGAGGTGAATCCATAATCCCTCAATTTTTTTTATTGAAGCCATATCGTTAAAATTCAATTCTGACATATGTCTATTTTCTTCTTAGTGAGATATTGATGAAATGAGTTTCTCATAGTTTGTGAACGCTCGGAAAACTGTGCGAGTGATAGATTCTATGTTTTCAGTAATTTAATGTCTGGAGGACCCATTGCAGTAAGATAATCATATCCAATTACATATAAGGATTTGAGTTTCGACTCGAAAAAAATATTCGATTCTGAAAGCATAAGGTATTCGAATATGCCGGTAGTCAATATTTCGTATTATCAACTACAAGAGTATTTACTTTTCTAGAAAGAACACATAGTTAAATATATATGACGGATAATGTATAATACATCTGCTTGACGATTGAAATCTTAATGTATTAATTTAGCATCGTATTTTTTACGATATGGTTGATAATTTTTGGACTCTAGTAAAGTCTTGTTCCGGAGTATTAATGAAAATAAAATGATAATATATATTTCACGTTTAGATGAACTGGAGCACAGAAACTGAATCTTTACTCACGTTGTATGATATAGTATTATGTATAAATTATTGACGGTATGAATAATAGTGGGCTCGCCATAAACGTATAAAAAAATCCAGATTTAAAACAAAACTAATAATAAAAGAAATCTCGTTTAAATACGAAATTCTTAACGAAAGGTTAAGAGTGAATTTTTGATGCTTTTAGTTTTTGTAATATTTCTTGTTGTCTCACAACTTGAACAATTTCAACATACACTAGAATAAATCATCAGATTATTATTTTATCATTACGACAAACTTACGTAGTTGATAAGGTTTCTTAAAGTAAAGAAAATATCATAACAACAAAAGACTGTACCAAGTTTTATATTACTTCAAAGCCACCTAATAATGTATTTTAAGCGACTAAACTGAAAATTTTTAAATGATTGTACAAATACTTTATTATTATATTATTCAATAAATAAATAATTCTTTTACAAGTATCTAAAAAATATTTTAGAAAAAAACCCTAATTGAACTATTGAAGTCCACAACAATACGGACACAATACCGAGTTCATGTGTGTTTCGACTCTCTGTTTTGAGCTGCCCTCTCTGCTGTCGTCCTATCCGAGAGGGAATTTTTATGGTCCAGGAAACCGAAACGTCCTTTATGGACGTTTTCCGGTGATTAATCTATTAGATACAATTGACTATTTCTATTTAATATATGGAAGCGATTGGCAAATTGTCATTAACCTCTTGCATCTAACCACACATGATCTCAAACCACCCTCCGCGGAAGTTTTACATCGTTTTCCGCACCAAGGCAGAGCAAATGATCATCGCAGTTAGCCCTTGTGTTTTGGCCAATAAAATGCTGTCACTTGTCATTTTCCTCTTTTTGACTTTGAAAGTATATGAAACAGCAATGACCCAATGCTAATGATCCGTTCAACAAACGCCTCATTTAATTGCGACTTCAACTGAATGTCGACAAAAGTTCTTTGGCTGGTGCGTAGCTTAATCCATCAAAATGTAACAGTTCCGTTCGTAAACTGAATTTTCCTAGTTTATAAATACGAATGTTTCAAACTTCTTGTCAATATGCAACAACTTTACATACGACTGCGATACAAAAACACGTTTTGGGAGATTCAGTAATACAGATTGGAAACATATTTGAGTATAAATATATATATATAAATATTTGAGTAATATAAGTTCGTCAATGAGCAATGAAACTAGGAACCATTTATTCATCAACTATACATCTGTTGAATGTGGCTATGAATAGGGTTACCATATTTTTTTGATTTCAAAGCGGGACGCCTTCTGTAGCTTTACCGTTTCCGATTTTACTACATAGGCTTAAATTTAATTGAGCCATCCCAGCTGTCTTCATTGACCATATTGTCTTCGAGAGTTCATGCGCATATTCTCTGTCTGAATATCGAGTTCGGTTCGAAAATAGAAAGGAATGGACGCTAACGATACAAATGATCCGAATTTAAATTGGGATTTACTTATTCGCCCAAGCATGCATGCTTAACACCTTTAAAAAAACGTTGTTCAATGTTACATTCACGCGAACGTCCGAACAGGACCAATTAGAATTGATTTTACATGTGATACGTTCGCTAATAATGTTAGAGGGAAACAACCAAAATAACGCATCATCTTCAGTAAGTTCGCTAGCGTTGCGCTACACAGCAACAACAGTAACGAGAACATGTTCGTGTATTATGCTGGATGGCTAAACGCAAAAGCGGGAGTTTTGGCTGACTCGTCGGGACGGCGGGACAAGACGCTAAAAAGCGGGACTGTCCCGCCTAAAGCGGGACGTATGGTAAGCCTAGCTATGAAACATATTTATACATCGAATAAGAAAATAGACGGTAGAGATTAGCAAAATACCTCACAAATGGCGACAACGAGTGGCATGGTTTGGTCAAAAATAACATATCAAATTCGATCGATTTCCGAAATGCCATTGTAGCGCAATGATAATAGATCATTTATGCCTTTTGCCAGCCAGACAAAATCAAAGAGAACCCATGTACCACCCTTGTTGCGTTATTGCTTGTCATATTACAAACTCTTTGTTACACAATTTATATTGAGGAAGGGGTCGGATTGGCCAAGATAGGATATGATAGGATAGGATTTACATATTTATCCCGGGGGAGAGGAAAGCCGATAAGACGGCTTATCCATATGGCGAACCACGGCCTCTCGTCCGGTTACCATTCCAAGTCGGGTATGGGATTAGTTTTTACTGTATTGTTTGTTTTTCGGAAGCATGGACTTGGTGGTGGAGGAAGCCGTAACCGACCAGCGGTTACGTGAACCACCCAACGTCGGCGAGGAGTCCAGCAATCCTCTCGCACATAACCATCCCTGCATGGGATTCGAACCTGCGAACCCACGCAGAGTAATTAGAGGTGCGGTGGCGAGCGTATTCCTAACGCTTAGCCCGTTGAGCCACACCGCCGCGCCTATATCGCCGGGGCAATCACATACGCGTCGGATCGGCCAAGATATCGCCGGGGCAATCAATACCTAATTTGTCGAGCACCCAGTATGATGCGAGTTATCAACATTACGCAATTTTAAGTTTATAACTCACCATCTGTTGCTGATTATGACGTACAGTATTACTGATTTGCCAAGGCAAATCATATGGACCTTTCCCCGAGCATCGACTTCCTTGTTTACTTCGTGACATTGGCTAATCAGCAAGATGCAAAAAGTGACGTAACAATGCTCCCTCCTCGCTTCCGCTCAGACACTTTTCTCACTCAGACAGATTTTCGAGCGTGTTCGTAAAAATGACCGGATTTTCGCGTTTTTGAACCTTATTCGTTAGTTTTCAGTTGTGTTTCGGAAACTTATATATAAATCAGATAATTCAATGATCACTCTATCTTCCTAGGAGTTTCGAGGATCAAAGGTCGGGGAAAGTTGCATTGCAGTTGCAACCAAGACAGGTCGGATCTACATTTCTTTAGGTCCGTGTAGGCCGACGCGCCGAGAATTTTTATAAATACGAAAACTATTGTCATCCACAACTGATGGATCAATCAATTTCAAATTGCCTTTACTTAAAGATGGTTATGAAAGACCGTAAATATATACTACTAAGGAAAGACGATTATTTCAAGTTTTTTGTTGCTCCACATCGCCACGGCTCGGTCACGGCGTTTGCGCTACGCGATTAATTGCTACAACAGTGAATTTTAATTTGAACTGCGTTATCTTTTATTTCTAAATATTTCCCCGTTGGTAAACTTGATTGTTATGTGTTTTTTCACTTTAAAATATTTTAAAAGTATTCCTGGTTTTGAATCGCTGTTCACTGTTTTGTGTGCTTGCATTATTTTTTATGCGTGAGCGCGTACTTGTACACTTTAAAGTTTAAACTAAGCTAATATCGCCTCTCAAGTATCTCTTTATTTTGTTTGTCTGTTTATTTTTTGTGTTGTTTTGATTGTGTATGACAACCGAACGAAAATAAAATGATCGATTGATCTCTTTAAAATATGAACAGGTAACGGATTTCAGTGTGAGCCGCATAGGCCATCCGAGACTTTTATTTTAAAACATTCTCGGTGAGATCATTCATAGGGACGAATATACCGAAAAATCGTCCTTAGTGTGGCCTATACAGTACCGGTACCACAGATCTACTCATTCTACTGTAGATAGGCTGATTGATGACTGTACAGCACCATACTGCAGTACTGCCATACCTCAACTTTGCGCTCCTTAAAATCTCCCGTGCCTTATTATAACATGGAATCATTGCTGCGACAGGTCCATCTATAGGCTCATCGTTCGTTATCTGTCCGATACCGATACACAACATCGCTGTGGATACCACACAGGCAGGGAGTAGCCTAGTTTGATGGAACATCAAACATTACAATGAATGAAATAACAAAGTGGGATATATTTTTCTTCATTCCAAACTTAATTGGTAAGTTTAAACTAGAGTACTGACGGACGGCAGGACAGTACAGCAGTATCATACTTAAAATTGGTTCAGAATTAGGGAAATGAATATCTGAATCTGCTGTCATCATTTATATGTAGGCTATGCATCATGGTGGAGATGGCCTGATAAGTTGCCATGTCTACATGGGTTAACATAGAAATTCGTTTTCATATATTGTTGTTTTCAGGTATATAGTTTTGTAGATATATAACAGTTTTGCAAATTGTTCAAAATTTAATCAAACTGTTATTTATGTAATATCAAATTCTAAATAGTTTGCATACATCTGTTTTCTCTTGAATAGTTATATACTATCCTGAGCTTGAAGCTTGATTACAGATCTCTTTGTGTTTCTGATATTATACAGTTATATTCTGTATTTTCACTCGGCTCACTCGTCTTAGATTGAAATTCTGTGTGTACCATGGTGGAGCAATATTATCAATTTTTAAGAGAGTTTTATTTTTTCAGGTTACTTGCGATTATTACTCATTGGAGTGTCTTGGTACTACATTGAATATTCATCATTCTTCATTCCGGTTTATATGATCAATGTGATATTAGATGGTAAAATATTTTTTATGGTTTATTCAAGCATGCTGTGCTAATGAAACATGACTAGATCAATTAATTTCAATTCAACAACTTGGATCATCGCAGTATACCAACTTGGTGGAAATATGAATCAACATTTTAACCTATGGAATCATAAACAAAAACACTGAATATTCAAATAGTTTTACACAAGCGCATAGTACTGCCTTGTATTGAATTTAGAGCACTCTTGTATAAAATGAAAACGCGAAGACTGTTTTGCCTATGACATATTAAATCATAATTACGAGGAATGGCAAATTTTACAGAATAATTTGACTACGATATACATGGCCAAAATGATTATTTTTTACACCATCACTTTTGATTCACACAAAACTATTCGAATACTTTGATTGTATTATAGATATATCTCCTATCTGAATAATGCATTGTAAAATATACCATTTCAGGTATTGATGGTTGGGCTGCTCGAAAATTCAATCAGATATCAGACTTTGGTGCTGTTCTTGATGTCATTGTGGATCTTATTGGTAGAGGGATGGTTTGGTGCTATATTTCCAAGGTAAATTTATTCTCATTTACTTCAAACACAGATTTTCCTTGAAGGTTAAAATATTTCTCCACTTTGTTTTGTGCATTCTTCTTTCATTCATGAAGCTAATATAGCTGCATAAAAATATTAAACTAGATATTGATGGCCATGCAGTTATAATTAATTTTTCTCCTTCTGAACAAATTTCTCTTGTTTCAACAGTTTGGGTATGCTGTCATTGCTTTTGAATGGATCGTATTCATTGGAAATACAGAACGAGCAAGTGGAAAACAGTGGAAAAGTTCTTTTGAAAAAGTGCCAAACTTTGTGTCCTTGGTTATGAACAAAGGTAATATTTTACATGTTTTGAAATAAGCTGGTGATGCTTGCCATGTGTTGCTTGTTACCCAGGGCTGGTTCTTTTATATTTGCTTGTGGCTTCTGATGTATTTGCAGTCATTGGTGATCAAACAGGTATTCAATGTGATGGTAATTATTTTGCAAGTTTCTGCCGCATAAAAAAATCAAATTGAAGTACGCTTATTGAGAAACTGTGGTATGGAAGGATTATAGCTTATTTTATTGAAAATTAATTCAATACCCTTGCCTGGCTGAATATTTTCAGAACTGTTGCTGCTTGTGCATAATGATAGCAATATTTATTTCCAGGCTTCAAGACACCCCTTGGTGCTGTTGCAATAATAGGCTTACATATACTACCACCTTGGCTGTATATGTTGAAGATGAATGTTTTAAGTGTTTCCATTATGAGAAATCTCCATTTTATAACAATTTTGCTTGTGATGGCAAGAATGGTATGTGCTGTTGTAGAACTATGGTGTTTTTATAAGTATATGCAGTTTTTGTTGCACAAATCTCCTCACAATCATTCAAATAGAACACAGTAAAATGCATCGATACAATTTATCATAGTAAATTTTCAAATTTTGATACCTGATTTTAATATATATATGAAAATGCTACTAGTTTGCTACCATGACTAATTTTAATTAGTCTTTTTTTCCACTACGATTTATCTACTATGATTTGTCCTGCATATTAGCAGCCTGCAACTGTCAGTGGTATGATTATCGCACAGCTTAATTTACCTTAAATATTTTCATTCCATTGCAACATTATCCGATGAATTCTCATATTTCACATTTTTCTAAGAAGTTCATGCAGGTGCAACTTTATTGTTTTTTTTAATAACAGATGCTACTTGCCACAGTGATTGATTTTAATTTTTGAATATTTTTTCATTGTAGATAATCTTACAAGTGCCTTATGTTTATCCATGTTTCTCCCAGTGTTATATTTATATTCTTGGTACACATCATTCTTCATTTTATCTGCTTAAAGCTTCATCATCACCATCATTGTGATTCGCTTTATTGCCTTGAAATATGCTATACAATATATGAAATTTAACATGCATCTTATGTATATGACTATTTTTTTTCGAATAATTTAGGGAACTAGAGTGAATATGAATTCGGATTCATTTTCTTTTATCTTTTACTAATTCGAAAATCTTGGACGTAATACGCCCATAATACACTACTGGTATTTGTTCATGCTTGGAGAACTGCTGTCCGAGTGGGATGGGGCTTGTTGTTTGCCATTTGGAATCTAAAATGTCTCGCTACTGTTGGTGTGTCTGCAGTTCTTAATAATTTTGCACTCCTCGTCGCATATTTAGGATAGGATTGGATTTACATATTTATCCCGGGGGAGAGGAAAGCCGATAAGACGGCTTATCCATATGGCGAACCACGGCCTCTCGTCCGGTTACCATTCCAAGTCGGGTATGGGATTAGATTTACTGTATTGTTTGTTTTCGAAAGCATGGACTTGGTGGTGGAGGAAGCCGTAACCGACCAGCGGTTAGTGAACCACCCAACGACGGCGAGGAGTCCAGCAATCCTCTCGCACATAACCATCCCTGCATGGGATTCGAACCTGCGAACCCACGCAGAGTAGTTAGAGGTGCGGTGGCGAGCGTATTCCTAATGCTTAGCCCGTTGAGCCACACCGCCGCGCGTTGCCTCTCAGATCGATACCGTGAGCGACACATGAAATCTTCAACAACGTTGATTCCGTTAATACGGAATACTTAATATGCTTCATAGCTGGCGCCTTATAATGAGCAAACTTGCATTAAAAACTCATGAAAACACGCTTTTTTAAACTTATTGCCAAGTTTTCAAATAAGCATGCAAAATGGCGCGGCGGTGTGGCTCATCGTGCTAAGGGTTGGGAATACGCTCGCCACCGCATCTCTAATTACCCTGCGTGGGTTCGAATCCCACCCGGGGTAGTTATGTGCGCGAGGATTGCTGGACTCGCCGTCGTAGGGTGGTTCACGTAACCGCTAGACGGTTACGGCCTCCTCCACCATGAGGTTCATGCTTCCGAAAAACAAATAACTAAAACTAATCCCATACACGACATGGACTGGTAACCGGACGAGATGCCGTGGTTCGCAATATGGTTAAGCCGTCCTATCGGCTTTCCTCTCCTCCGGGATAAATATGTAAATTCTATCCTATTCTAAAATGACTCGGATTAAAATCCTTGTAATATGAGTCCGAAATCAACAGAATTGCATGAGCTTTCTTATTTATTTGTATGGCGATATTGATAACTTGGTTATGGTACTATATGCAAATGTGTTTTGTAAATCTTATGTTTTTCTTGACGCGTCCTCCGTCATTTTTAAAGCGATTTCAACTAGTTGAACGTATCTTCGGTAAGAATCGCTGACCATGTCACCGCCCGGTCGAACGAAAACGTCCTCTTCCAACATTTGAACACGGAGATAATACATGTACATAAAAAGAAAAGCAAAAAGTGTCCCTATGACCATGGAGACTAGTGCGAATACCATCGTTATCCATTCACCACAATCCAAACTTTCATCCTCACCGAGTGGGCAGTCGTAGTATCTGAATGCAATAAAGCAAACTGGTCTGAAAATCAGTTCTTCAGTTAATATGATTTTTTTTATTTAATATTTAACAAAAATAAATTTAGCGTTTATTGAATATTATCAACTACATATAAATGTTGGACAAAATGTTATTTTAATCAGCAGACCCATTACATATTTGAGTTCCATTTATACATTCTCCCGTGTAGCAAACAAATATATTAGTTCCGTAGCAGTTGGATTCAGCAAATAACCCAATCTCTGTCTCGATTCTTGAAGTTTCTGAATAAAATGTTCACCGTTCAACCTCTGTTCTACTCGTGCCTTCTATCACATTTCATTTTATATTACGCATAAATATATATATAGGCTACTATTTTTTAAAAGTTAGTTACATTTTATATATTCGGCGTTTCCTACCGAGCTTCTTAGGCGCTGATTGCCTAGTAAAAAATATCCTCTTAGGTCTAGGCAGAGCTTGCAATATATTTTTCTGGGGTATTTTCACATCATATTTCAATGCAGTGATCTTTTATGTTATTTTACACTATAAATCATTCGAAATGATTGTACTACATCAAACTCACTTGGTTCATCGGTAGCCTCAAGTACACTGAAGTCATTCATGAAATAATCAGACGAATATATGCTGGCCGTTGCATTTGGTGGTTGTTGCTTTGCTCTTTCGCTAGCAGTTATAGTTGGAATAAACGGGTCTTTGTCGCCATTGCTTTGTTCTTCAGAGGTATCGTCGACGAAACTTGTGGAAAAGTCAAAATCCCTATTAAACGAGATTCCATTTGATAGGACTAATAAAAGTACAAAGAAAAACGACAAAATGTTGCACTGCCACCAGTTTCCCATATTGAAAACCAGCACATTCCGCAAAATGGTGAGAAGACAAAAATGGAATTATTACATCATAATTATGAAAATACTAGGTTTTGAAGATTACCATAATTGCTAAAAAGTGAAGATTTCAGTGCAACTAATTAATTTTTTTCATATTTCAACTAATTAATTTCCATAAGTGCAATAGTGCACTCGAAAACGTTTGTAACAACAACAACAACATTATACCAAAAAGATCTGCAGGCCCGGTTCGTGTCCAATAATAACTAAACGATTCATTTGTCCATTTCGTGTCCAGAAACCATTTTCGAATACGGTGATACCACAGATTCAACTTGACGCATGGAAGTCATTGCTACGATTGATATTTTCATTTTGTTAATTATTAAAAATAAACAAAATCTACAAAACAAACCGCTTCGGCATGATAGATAATATTCGATATATATTCATCAAAAGTATGTGTGAAACAGCTTTATAACTGCTATTCATGTTGTTACAGAGCTTAGGAAGCAATCTCGCATCGACAGCGCTTGTCTTAATGAAATTGGCGGCTGATATTATTCGTGCGATCTTATCTTTTATCGCAGTAAATATAGACACCAAACTCCTAGACGAATCAGGGTGACAGCAAAGCCAATAGGGTGGGGTATTGTGGTAATCATATGGCTCACCACAATCGCTCTCAGTTACTAGTCCATGTCAGGTATTGGATTAGTTGGCAAGTTAATTTTTATTTTGAGATGCAACTCACAATACCCGTTTTTTCTTCTCCATCCTGATGTAAATCCAATACTATAGCTTCAACTTATTTACTTCTTTTCAAAGAATGCAGAGGCAAGTAAGACCACACTTCACATATTGTTTATCGCTTCTTTCTTTTTTTCCGCACATTTCCCGAACTTGGGCTATTATTATAATAATACATCAAGATTAAAGCTGAATTTAAATTCAAACTGAAATTTCCACTTTCACATACATGGAGCGATTCTAGTTAGTCATAACTGTGTAGTCTTCTTGTTCGCTCCTTGTTGAAAAAAAACGTTACTTTACCATTGCAAAATTTTCGATGCATATTTTGGAATGGAATTTTTTGCGGGTCGGCCCTAACGAACTTTCTTACATGTTTATAAACAACATCTTGTTTTGCCATTTAAATGAACTGATAGCAAATTTTATCGTAAAACAAGGTGTTCTACAGCGTTGTGTTGGATTCAGATATTTTGTTTCGTCATAACAAATCCAACCGATGGTAAACAAAAATAACAAGCGCATTCTGAATTTGTTTCTTCGACCATATCAAAAAAATTTGAAGATATCGCATGATCAAGATTTGTTGAAAAGTTTTTTCTTGCAATCATATTTTGCCAAGGTATAAATGAATTTATCTATTTCCACCTATCTAACTTTTATATTTGTGTGAACTTCATTAGGTGTGTGTTGTTGCAACATACCCGTTATAAACAAGACTACTAAACTTACGACAAACAACCTTTGCGATGAAAAGTTTTAGTTTAGTTTAGCTGCTCGAGCAAAAAACGATGTTCGAGGGGGAAAATAACCCGGACTAAAATTATTTTGTACCTACTGGACGAAACTAAAGAATTTCATTCTATCTATAAATATCACATGACACAGTTGCACCATATAACGTCTCTATTCTAACTCCGCTAGAAGCAAAGAGGGAGTGATCGAAATTGTGATATAATGCAATCTGTATCCAATTGTTCGACTGTCCGGAATGCACATTCGGAGCGATTGGCATGGCTTTGTGGAGCGATGCTTAAATTTGACATGTTAAACAGAAAAACTATACCATGTTAAGACTTTTTTTGTAAGATTTATATGCACAACATCATACTCATCAACATGAACTCATCTAACGAATTTTACTGCAAAGAGATGATGAAGTTAACTTTTAAATTGACAAAGCACATGTATGCTCACTCATAAAATATTAAAAAATACCCCTCACACAAGTAGAAAACTCACGTCCATGCGTCTGAAAACAAACACCTGGCTAACTAATCCCGACCCGACATAGACTGGTAACCGGACGAGAATCCGTAATACGCCAAATGATTAAGCGTCCTATCGCCTTTTGGCTCTCCCGAGATGAATGTATAAATCCTATCCTAAATTTATACTATAAGTATGATAATGGAATGGATAAACATAAATCGCCCTTTCTCAGCACTGATTTATTAGGATTGTCTTGGTGCTCTTAAAAGTATCGAATGTTTTAGTAGTTTATTCAGTATATATTTACGGTTCATCTCACCATCTGGTTGCACCAACGACTAACATACCGGTTGCACAAATAATTTATATACTTAATAATTTGAGAAAAGAAGGTATTAACATCTAATACATTTGGATTCCAGGTCATATGGGTATATTGGGAAATGAAAGAGCGAATCAGCTTGCAAGATCGTGTATTGGGAACGCCGCTATCGACAATATCCCACATACACTACAAGAGACAAAAGCTGTAATTAGAAGTATAAGTTTGAATAAATGGAAATTTGAATACCAATCGTCGACCATTGCCATACACTTCAAAATGTTCATTCCGACCGTTAGTCGTTGTTCCGACAGCAGATTCATATCCGAATTTTCTCTAACGCGATATCATCAATCAATTATATTCAGACTTCAGACTGGACATTGCAGGCTCTCCCACCATCTTTTTAGAATAGGCTGTCACCCAGATGGTGAATGCGATACTTGCTCTGTACAAGAAACTGTAGCCCATTTTTTACTACTTTGTTCAAAGTATATTGGCGCGGCGGTGTGGCTCAACGGGCTAAGCGTTAGGAATACGCGCGCCACCGCACCTCTGATTACTCTGCGTGGGTTCGCAGGTTCGAATCCCATGCAGGGATGGTTATGTGCGAGAGGATTGCTGGACTCCTCGCCGTCGTTGGGTGGTTCACGTAACCGCTAGTCGGTTACGGCTTCCTCCACCACCAAGTCCATGCTTCCAAAAACAAACAATACAGTAAAACTAATCCCATACCCGACTTGGAATGGTAACCGGACGAGAGGCCGTGGTTCGCCATATGGATAAGCCGTCTTATCGGCTTTCCTCTCCCCCGGGATAAATATGTAAATCCTATCCTATCCTAATGAGAGAAATACTTTGATAAATCATGCACATAGTTTAAATATTCCATTTCGAATTAAATACCTACTATCTGATTCAAAAGTTATCCCCTTTGTAATTAGGTTTGTTCATTCAACCCGCAGGTTAATATAGACCAATGACATTAAACAACATGATAGGCAACTCTGACGTCACTCCATAAGACTACAGGCAAAGCATTGTATTTCATGATACGCTTCAATGCACATATTTCTCGTCGCCTTTCGCGTCCGTTTTCCGCTCGCTTTTGCTACTCGGCGTCTTTTTTACGTGTAGTACCTGCCTTTTTGCGCCTGTAACGAAACAAAATAATCTCTATATCTAAGAAGTTTTGCTTACTTGAAAAGCTGGAATAACAGGCAAGCTGTAAAGAGCAATTCTGGACATCATAGACTTTTTTTTTATCAGAGAAGATTACAAACGCGATAGCGGAAAGATTTGTGTGGAACATTTTGCAGATAATGACAAAGTTCAAAGTTAGTAATTTTAATGTTTGCGCTTAATCATTGAAATTTTATTTAATGTCATACAAAACTGTGCTGCGATACAATTCCATAACACAAAGTTTGCACCTATCGAACTTGCTTTTGTAGGTGAATTTATTAGACATATATATTACATATTCAGTTAATCGTAGGTAACATTGCTGGTACATAATGCATCGTAGATAGGTTTGTTTAAATTTAGGAATTTAGCTCATAGCCCACTAATTAATATTATCTTCTATGCAGGAGGTTGCAGGGCTGAATTCAACTTGCAGCCTTACCGATCACCTGACGATGCTCATTTAGTTTGGCTCGAGCAAGTCTTCTTGAAATGCTTGTGTGGATGGAAACTACCTAGATTTTTTGTCTTCCTCCGATTTTAGACAAATTTATTCTGAGGGATTTCGCATATAATTCTCACTGATTGTTGGCTGTTTATAATTCCTATTGATTGTGAATTCTGATTATAACAATGAGTTGAAAATTTTTTTACCTAATTTACTGGCACCTTTTTCTTGTCAATACTCCAAGCTGAGGTAATAAACATGACAATACATTTATGTCATCTGGAAGCAAAATATGCACACTAATTAATAGTTTGGCACATTGAGATAATACATCATGACAGAAAATACAAGTTAAAGATATGTATGACCATCACATGGTAATTAAAATTAATAAAAATTAATAGGGGCTGTGGAGTATGGAAAGTTCAAGACAAAGAAAAGAACAAATGTTCATAGCTCATGAACTCTCAATTTTGCCTCCATATATTTTGAGTGGCTGAATTGGTTTACCTTTCTGATAGCAACGATTTTGTATTTAATATAGCGAGATTATTTCAATTTAATTGAAGTGATATAATTTCCCAAAGCAATGCTTGAATCGTCTAGAATAGATCAGTGGTGTCAAACTCATGGGTTTTCGAGAGCCGCATTGCATTTTGAAAATTGTAAAAGAGCCGCAAACAGTTTTTGATAATGTATACTCAAAAGATATTTTTAAGATAGTTTTAGTTTTGTGACATATATTGTGATGCAACTAAACAGTTGGATTAGGTTTTATTATTTCTTCAATTCAAATGCAATTACATATTAATATTTGCATTCCACTATTATTGCAACATTTGCAAGTTACAGTATTTATTATAAAAAATCGTAAATTCTATGTACAACCATCAAAATCATTTTTGAACAAGCTTTGAATAAGGAAAGAATAATACATACACTAAAAATAACTTAATCTAAATATATGAACCTAAAATTAACAAAAATACTACAGTATAAACTCAATGTTTTAATAATTACATTTGTCCTGGCGTTTGGCATCTTTTTTGTGTCACCAGCATACTAAGGCCAGTCTGAAATGATTTTATAGTACCGACTCTAACTAACGAGGCCACATGATCATGGGTTTATCTGGATCTTTACGAATGTTTAATTAATTCCAGTAATGCAAAAAAGTTACTTTTATCATTTCATGTATAGATCAGTAAAAAAACAAATGACAGATTTTTTCGACAAGACATTTCGCACTACATTGCGTGGCATAGGATTGCTTGAATTATTATTGATATTGATTTTTAGTAACTACTTCGTTGTATAATTATATTAATATACAAACACATGGAAATTTTCTGTTCGAAGTTGGTCTTCGAATTTGTCATATTGACTGCTGAGCTTATTGTGTTTTTTGATTGTATTGATGGATATATGACAAATTAAACAATGTGCTTCAGAATTTTGTGAAGAGCAGAAATGTTACAACTCCCATTTTCTTCGAAAATGCCACCTTCTTCATGTACTTTGCGTTTAATTTAATTACTCAAGTGTTTTATTCAAGTATTCTTTTGCTAGCTTGATGTGTATTCTTAATTGGGTCAAAATGTGGACAAAAAAAATTAATATTCCAAAACTACTTTCAGTAAATTGTTTTCTGTGAAGGTTTGAAAAATCTATTACATTTAGATAAAAAAAAAACTTCCAAAATACTATTACAATTATTGTTAAGCGTTCGAGGGCCGCACTGGAAGTTCTCTGGGGCCGCGAGTTTGAGATCCCTGGTCTAGATTGAAGTTGTTCAAAAAATATATGATAGTATTTTATCATGAATGATGATTATACCCCTTCCGGAATTTCTTCTATAGTACTACCAAAAGTTGATGAACCAAATATAACACAGGTGCAGTGAGGTACCCGTAATCCTCATTTCCAAAGATGTTTTAAGTATGTCTGGCGTGTTTTGTGCCTTTTTACAAATAAGACCGCTTATGCAATCTTACGCTTTGGAATTTTTAGTTATTTTCCTCAAGCCCTGCAGGATGTGGGGGCCATACACAACTCTACCGGAGGGTCAAATGTCTTTGCATGCCTCCATAGGTTGTTTTTCTATTGCAATTTTCTATTTCCAATTGCATTATATTTCTTGGAATCACACTGTCACTGATATGTCGCCAGACTTCTGATATCTCCCCGTCTGCTATAGTTGTCCTGTGAATAAATAATAGGAAATTGAGATTAGACGAATAGTTGAAAGTTTTGCTTTATGTCGGCTTAATTTCTTGATTGATATACTTACTATTTCTGCTATTGCCTCTTGTGCTGCAAGAGTCTCACAATGCTTAGACAGGTTTGTCCACAACTTTCACATCTGAAGAAAGAGAGGAGATTTATTAATTTCCGTTAGGAATAAATAAAGCAGTCTATATGATTCAGAATGGAAAAGCTAATAAATCCAATATCTCATGTTTTATTCAAAAAATATTTTACTGAATTTGGTATATAAACCAACTAATAAAAGGGTTTAGTCAGAAAATTACAAGCATTCGTGGCTCCAAATACTTGAGAAATCAGACTATACAATATAGACCGGTATGAGTGAAATGTTGGGTGAACTTGTTAACACTTTGATTCAATACGCAAATGAAAGTGAATGCGTAATAGTATGTTACAATGAGCAGCAATCAACAATGAGTATATATCCTCACTGATTAAAAAAATCTAACTGGAGGTGCATAAACTATTTGAAACCATAAGGGGTAAGTAAATATGTAATTTCGGCAAATGGGCAACTACGTACCGTACTGAATTAATAACTTCGTAGTATTTGACAAAGGCTGGCTTTCCCACATGTACTTAAAAGTGCGATGCCCGGGTGTGATATACAACAATAGTATTCACCTTACCTTTTTACCGATTTCTTTTTACCCCAACTTTCAAAAATATCATTAAAATCGACAACAACTGTCAAAGCAGGCACGAACACCATTCGTGCTACGCCTTGAAAGCAGCACACATCCGCTCGTTTTCGTCTCGTCAAGTATGTGCATTGGAGCGTGCTATCGAATACGATCTTCGGACAAAAATGCCGGAGTTGCGCATCATGTTGTTTAATGTCATTGTATAGACATAGCTGATATATGTAATTTTTTATACTTCCGCGTGGCTTATGTTTTACATTAATTTCGTATCATACTGCAATTTAGTAAAATAGCGTGTTGCATTGATTATTGTGTTCGGCTTATGTGGAACTGGTTTTGTCTAGAAAATTAATTTCAGTCTGGCGCATATAATCCTGGTAATTGAAAGCGCCATAACTTATAATATTATTAATAATCTTATCCTAAATTAAACATCATAAACGGTGCTGGTAAAATAGTTAATCAAACTGAAAAATTCAAATACCGAATAACTTTATTGTTGTATATTTTCATTACTGTTGCAATGCTTGTTTTTCTGGTTGACAAATAATAAACCTCTCTCTCTCTCTCTCTCTGGTGACTCTTTGAAATACGCATCTGAGATCTCAAAATAAAAAGTATCAGATGTCAAAGGTCGGGGAACATGGGGAACATGTGTGAATGAATGATACGGTGATTGTAGACTTAGGGCCGTATTCTGAAAAGGAACTTGAGCACCCAGTCGGACTTGACTTGGACGTGAGTTGGACTTCGGTGTAAAATGGGTATTCAGAGACCAAACTCGAGTTTCGAGTTCGAGAAGAGCTCAAGTTCAGCTTGAGGGGCTTCAAGTACGACCTGGAGTTGGCTTGGTATTCAAATACGCACGAAGTAGGAAATTAAGATACGAATTTTGCCATTTCGAGTTGGAACCTCGAGTCTGGTCAAGGGCTGCTTCGACATCGTACTTGGGTATGGCCAAATCGCATTGTAGTGTTCGGTGAGTTGTGGCCAGGCAGATAGCATTGAAAATGGATGTGTTATATGTCGCAGAAGTTGCGGAAATTATCAGACGGCATACCGGACCTCGTAGATACTTGAAAGATCAACAAAATCCACTTGAGATTTTGACCGATGTACAGTTTGTTGATCGTTACAGACTCACAAAAGACGGCGTAGTAAACTTCATGGCTTTTTTACACGAAGATCTAGCGAAAGTCAACAATAGGGGTTCGCCGCTACCGCCACTATTGAAATTCACCGTCGTGCTCCGTTTTTACGCAACTGGGTGCTTTCAGGTTGTATCGGGAGACCTTGAAGGAGTTTCCCAGCCAACTGTTAGTAGACTGGTGAAGGAGGTTAGCAGAATCATTGCAATAAAACATGATGACTTCATAAAATTTCCCACCAACCCACAAGATGTTCGAACGCAGGCGATCAAGTTCTATCAGAAATCTGGATTTCCAGGCGTAGTTGGCGCGCTGGACTGCACTCATATAAAAATTCAGTCTCCTGGAGGTCAGCACGCTGAACTGTTCAGAAACCGTAAGGGTTATTTCTCCATTAACGTTCAAGCGGTGTGTGACGCGGACATGCTACTCACGAATGTTGTCGCGCGCTGGAGAGGTTCAGTTCACGATGCTAGAATTTTTGACAACAGCTCTTTGCGGGAAAAGTTTGAAAACAGCACATATACAAATATGCTGGTGGCGGACAACGGTTACGGATGTAAGCCTTACGTTATGACGCCGTTCAAGCGGTGTGTGACGCGGACATGCTACTCACGGATGTTGTCGCGCGCTGGAGAGGTTCAGTTCACGATGCTAGAATTTTTGACAACAGCTCTTTGCGGGAAAAGTTTGAAAACAGCACATATACAAATATGCTGGTGGCGGACAACGGTTACGGATGTAAGCCTTACGTTATGACGCCGTTTCTGACATCACGATGTGTTGCTGAGCAAAGATTCAATAAATCACTGATAAAATCTAGGATCACTATAGAACGCACTTTTGGTGTTTGGAAAAGGGTCTTTCCTTGCCTTTCTTTTGGACTACGCACCAAGATTGATACCACAATGACAATCATTATTGCGACTGCTGTGCTGTACAACTTTGCAAGGCAACAAAGGTAAAAGTGAATGCAATACATTAGTAAATAACTCAGACAACATATTTCAAAACGAAATCATTTATTTAGAATCATCACTGACGACTATTATGCAGAGATACAGGATAACAATATTTCAACAATTATGGTAGGACCTCAAGCTCAAGGCAACAATGTCGCTGGCTTAGATAAAAGGAGGCAGATTGTGCAGAGCCATTTTACCCGTTGAATACTGAAATTATGGAACGGTTGAAGGTCCAAATACCAAAAAAAACAAAAATTTAGGCTTATTCATGTGATTTCTAAACGCAAACATATGTAAACAGTCAACATTGAATTCAAATAAATGTCCAATTTTACAATGCAATAATGTTTTAGAATTTTAGATGCTACACTGAGAAGACAAAAATCAGAATAATGTATGAGATCAGGGGTTCCCAAAGTTAATTGACCATGGGCCGCAATTATAAGGATAGTTGCGGACCAGAAATAGCAAAAAGGAAGCGAAAGCACGGCCGGGGTTAAGGGCGCACTTAAGCGCCCTGAGAAAAATTTAAAAAATAGGCTGTAAGTTTAATTTTAGATACGCCTAGACAAATCGCATAAGTGATATTTTTAAAGAAATGAGAACACTGCCAGTGTCTTTTTTCAGTGTCGCAAGAAGGTAAAAACATAAGTGTTAAACATATTAGTATCTATTTACGATTAAAGTTTTAACTGTTAAACTATTATGCGGGCCGTAACTCTCCCCCAGGCCACGGTTTGGGAACCCCTGTTCTAGATGCTACGTAGGGAACACAAAAATCACCTAGCTCCTGTCCTATTAAAGCACTACTTTTCAGAGATTTCAGAACGGTAAGCTGCCATCTTTGCCGAATGTTCCTCTTTTAAATAACGTATCTGCAGCTCTAGCTTTCTAACTTTCAAATCATGTTGTATCTTCTGGCTCTCTAATAAAAAGCTTTCCAGATCAATACTCGAACGCTTTCTGCCCGAATAGGTTTTTGGTTTCTGTTTTTGGCTACGTATATTTACCGCTGGGCTCTGAAGAGACATCAATGTTTGAATGCTTTCTGAATCATCAGCGCTGCTTATGCTGTTGTCTTTGCTTGTACTGTTGTCTAACATATTTTCTATTTCTGGAAATTCTCTACACTCAATCTGAATCACTGTTGGCAGCGTGTTTCCATCAATTTCTAAAATGTCACAGAAAAGTTTATGTGAAAAAAGCAACACAAAAATGAGCTATGGTTAATAACCATTCTGGGAAAATCCGCCGAGGAAATTTTGCCCTATAAGAAAAATCGCTGGATGAAAAAAGAATATACCATAACCCTATCAATCTGTTTTTTTAATCACAAATACTTGTTTTACGGCAAAATGCTATTTTTTCTATGGGACCAAATTTCCTGTGGCGAAATTTCCAGACACGATTAAAATCAAACCAACGGTTCAGGAAATAAGCTAAAAATTCTTCTAGTCAAAGTAATAAAAGAACATGGCCAGTTCAATTCTGCATAATATCAAGCATTAGAGTGTCAAAATCAGTGCAGATGTAGAGTGATAAATCTGCCCTGCAACATACCAGGCATGGTGAAATCTTCAACAGAAAACATGTTTGTGTCACTGTCAACGTCATTGTACAGTGGGTCGAATTGCTCCGGAATCATACCATAAATTCTGTGGGATAATTCATCTGCTATATTCTTAGATGGTCCCCCTCCTGTAGATCGTAGACTCTTCTTCTCTTTAAGCACAGCAACCTTTGCCCTTTTGAAAAGATATAAGATATTTAGATTAGCTTTCAGAATGTGAGTTAGAAATGAAAAAACAAAAGTTTGCATAAGGATATCATGAATAATATTATCGGGTCTAGTGAGGTAAACGCCGTAACTGCTTAAATAACGCCTAATGAAATTGTGATGTGAAATGAACGCCGTTATTGCTTAAATAAAGCCTAACAAAAATGTGATGTGAAATATTAGTGTAAATGATATAAATTATATCCGTATTGTCTAAAAATGTTGACGACTTATCTGCCCCTCATGCGCCAGGTTGTCCACCTTGGCTTCCATTCGTGCCAAGCGTTTAGCGTATTGTGTTCGTGCAAGACTGACTTTTATTTTCAGAAAAATATGAAATTTGGGTTGTATTTTCATACCACATTTTTGTTTGGCGTTATTTAAGCAGTTACAGCATTCATTTTCACACCATATTTGTGTTTGGGAGTATCTAAGCAGTTACGGCGTTTGCCCAAAGAGACGCAAATTATCTGTGCATTCATTCTTGGAATTTTGGTTGTTTTCCTATTTGGCAAAATATTTAAGGTTCAAGATAACAGATCCTTCTCTTATTATTTATCTCAAGTTAGGAACGCTTCGTGAGTTTATTAAAACTTATCTTCTCACTTCCAACAACATAAAAATACAAGAGCTTAAGAAGTACAAATTATCTATCATTAGGTACTCTTTGCGACAGCATATCAAATTACAAGCAATGAATCAGTACACTTTCTTATGTTATGATAAGCAGCCTAGAACCCATGCGTTTCAAAATAATTGACTTACTAAAAGAGAAGGATGATAAAGAGATAATATTGAAATAAGAATATATATATTTCCAAACAATCATTTACTCTCTATATAAAACTGTTTTTACAATCGTGCTATGCAGCATTTTAGACCAGCTATGTTGAGTTACTTTTCTTAGCACCATAAACATATGGAACACAAACCGTGACTTCATATTCATCCAGCATTTCTTCAATTGCTTGGCAGTGTACTTTTTCACATCTGGTAGAGCATTGAAATGATCTGTTATTCCGGCCCATGCATTACAGCATTACTTTTGTTACAAGTTGCATTAATATCGTTTTTCTTGCTTTCAATTATTCTGATTTGGGGTTCAACCAAATTGACAAGATTAATTTTTTCATTATCTGTGAATACAATCCGTGGTACAGTCTGTTTTTCAATAGAATCAGACATTGCTACACACATTAAAATAATCCTGTAAAAATAAACAGTCAAAATAATCCAGTCTGGTCTGAAAGCAAGCATAACTTTGAAATCGCCAAGTGAACCCAATTCGTACGTTAATCGAGCCATACTGGTACCGTACCGTAGGACCTACTATATACTGCAATTATTAGTGAGATGATATTTTACGATTAACAGTAAACGTAACCAGCGCCGTAATACAATACGGTACTACATCTGTACAACGAACGGCTGCGCCATTCAGCGATCCCTTGGAGTCCACGTTTCTCGGTACCTCGCGACCCTTCCCACCAGAGCGCATCATTTTCTCAGCCAATGAGGATCGCGAATTTATGCGGAAGACTCAATGACCCGTAACGTATTTTTGAGTCCAACTTGAAATTTCGTACCACTCGAGTAGGCCTGGAAAACCGTTCTTGAATACCAAATCAGAACTCGAAATCAGCCGAACTTAAGCCGTACTCGAATGAAGCTTTTTTGGAGTCGTACTCGGACCTTGTTTCTGAATACGGGCCTTAGAGGAATAGTATAATATGCGACTCAGAGACCACTGTGAAGCTAGCAGCACTTTCAGCCAGAATATTTTTACACATTGAATATAGGTTCCACGCGCATATAGTGTTCACTTATAGGTAAATATGAAAAATGAAAATGCTGATCAAAATATAATATTGTCACGAAAATAGATGAAAAATCTTTAAACTGAATGAATACATTAAATTTAACAAGAAAATAGTGTTCAAAAAAAGACTAACTAAGCGAAAAATGAATTTTCAGGTATTCCGCAAATACAAAGTTTCGGAAAATTATCCTTTTCGGAACCTCGATTCCTCGAAAACCGCCAATAAAGGCAGCACCACGACACATTTGGAGAAAAGCAGATACCATATAAATTCAATTTTTCTATAACAGAACAGTAGCAGTACGTTTTGGCTTGACCATATATATTACCAAACATATCGTGTAATCTAAATTTTAATAACGGCATGGACGTAACAAATTTAAAATTGATTTTGTATTTCAACTAAATTTGCTAGATAATGGATAAAATATCATTTTCTTTTTGTCACACATTAATACTGTACATCTTTTAAACTTGGAATAAGTTGCGGAAAGTATAAAATACCAAAAAGCATTTTACGTCCTCTTGTGGATTATTTTCAAAATTTCAAAAAATTATCGTTATTGAAATAGCGATTTCTCGAAAACCGCCAATAAAGGCAGCATTACGACACATTTGAAGAGAAGCAGATACCTTATAGATTCGATTTTAATAAGTCAGAACAGTAGCAGCACGTTTTGACTTGGCCATATATAATTCCAAACATAGCGTATATTTTCAATTTTATTAAAAAATGTAGATGTGACATATTTAAAAACGGTTTGGTATTTCAACTAAATTTACTGGAAAATTCATCAAATACTTTCTTCTCTTGGGTATACAACAAAACTGTACGTTCATTAAACTTGGAATTAGTGTGCAAATCTTAAAATGCCAAAAATGATTTGACGCCCTCTTGTGGATTCTTTTCGGAATTTCGAAAAATTATCGTTTTTGAAAGCGCGATTTCTCAAAAACCGCCAATAAAGGCAGCACTACGACACATTCGGAGTGAAGCAGATACTTTATAGATTTGATTTCATTATGTCAGAACAGTAGCAGCACGTTTTGACTTGGCCATATATAATTTTATCAACTATGTAGATGTAACATATTTAAAAACGGTTAGGTATTTCAACTTAATTTACTGGATAATTCACCAAACACTTTTCTCTCTTGGTCATACATCAAAACTGTATGTTCATTAAACTTGGAATAAGACGGCGAATCCTATAATAACAAAAAATGATTTGACGCTCTCTTGTGGTGTTTTTTTGAAGTTTTGAAAAAATATCGTTTTTAAAAGGGCGATTTCTCAAAAACCGCCAATAAAGGCAGCACTACGACACATTCGGAGAAAAGAAAATACCATATAGATTTCATTTCATTATGTCAGAACAACAGCAGCACGTTTTTACTTGGCCATATATAATACCAAATATAACGTGTATTTACAATTTTATAAACAATGTACACGTAACATATTGTAAAAAGATTTTGTATTTTAACTAAATTTACTGGATAATTCATCAAACATCTTTTTTTTGGACGTACACCAATAATGAACGTCCATTAAACTTGGAATAAGTTGCAAATTGTATAAAACAACAAAAAAATGACTTACGCCCCATAGTAATTTTGTTTAATATCTCGAACATACCGTTTTTAGAGTGGCGATTTCCACAAAACCGCCAATAAAGGCAGCACTACGACACATTCGAAGAAAAGCAGATACTCCATAGATTTTGTTGAAATACCAAACCGTTT